TTTTCGGGGATGCCTTTCAATTTCCTAGTCTAGATTGGGATGATTTGTGCATCCAAGTACAATCCAGGTTAGTTGCTTAGATTTCTGAGGTCAGCCAAGTTTGGCTAAATACTGCCACTTGCAGAATTTAAATAAATCCTTAAAACACAGGCATTGTGACAAGGTTTTAAAAGAACGTGGCTACTGTGCTTCAAATCCTATCAGCTACTTCTGCCTTATAGTTAGTAGCACAATTTCCTGCATAATAATACTAGGGTGCTAATAAAGCCAAGATGCAGAACAGCTTCTGCAAAAGAGTGTCCTTATCAAGCAAATATTGCCAGAAAGGAAGGAAGGAATCCAGTACCTCCTAGGGTATGAGCTATTTGATTTAAATTTTCAAACATTCACGGTTCATGTCTAAACAAGCAACAAGATCAGTGTCATAGCTTTTCCTTCCCTTAGAATGTTTGAAAATCATTTTTTCAATATAACAAGCTATAGCTTACAGTTACTTGAGTGTAATAATTGCCCAATCTAGGCTAGTCATACACAGTGAATAATTATGCTGCTAGTAGTATATTGTGTTACTCAATGAGAGCTAAATTCATGCAATATAAAATACTGAACTATAATTACAGGAACCACCAAAGAATTTAAAGTCATTATAGACACCATCAGTCAATCTTTTTAATGCTGCTATCTTCCTGGAAGTGTAATCTAGCCGCTTAATTCATATAACACTACTCCTTTTAACCTTGATTTCAGAACCATACTGGATATCTGTTCTATTCTGCATGCTATCATACTTCTGCATTGTTTAAACCAGCGCATGGAAAGTGCATACAGTAGTTTGAAGCTATTTTGATGGCAGAGGCTTTTATGAACTGGCTGTAAGAATTCATCCATAGGCACAATAGAGAAAAGTGATCATCTCTGACAATCAGACTAAACTTTCCCCCCTCAGTTTAACATATTTGAGTAATAATTATCAGATGTAAACTGTTACCAAAATTAATCTACAATGCAAGGAAATAGTCAAAAAGGATTTACCCCCTTGAGAATTCCACACAACAATGATTATGCATCAACATCGTTATTTGAGTGCATTGGGCAATTCAGCTGTAGTTTTATTCAGTAACCCAAGGTTTGATATTGCTAGGCCAGCCATTATAATTTAGTCAATAAACCATGGCTTAGCATGATACATAAATTCAGCCAATACAGGTTTTCTTGAAACTCTCAATTCCTACCATAAAGGAATGTCCATGATTTCAAAGAACCCCTACTATGTAGAATTTTGCATTTATTAAAATACGTCTCACTTGTTCCTACCTAAAGTATTTGCTACATCAATTTTTTTGTGTTTTCTTGCAAATGTGAACTCTGTCCAAGCAATTTATACATATGTTGAATAGAACAGGCCACTGAGGCATACCACTTGACTCTTCCTTCTAGATCAGGGATGTCAAACTTGCATTGTCACAGCGTGGTCATGTGATGTATCATGACTTTCCCTCTTTGCTAAACCAGACATGGGCGTAGCCAGCACATAGGGCCGCGAGTTTGACACCCCTGTTCTAGACTGATACAAAACTTGTTCAATTCTTTCTTCTAGTAGCATATTCCACCCTGTATTCCACCATCTTCTCTCTCAGAATCGCCTCAGAATCTGCTGAACGTTTTGCTAAAGTCAAAGTACACTATGACTACAGTGCAATGGACAACTAAGCTGGTCATTTCTGTTAAAGCCTTTCAAATTGCTTTGGGTTAACTATACGTGCTAAACCCTGCTGACTCCTGCAGGGGCCCAGTGCATTATTTTTTTAAATGTTCCCAAATTATTTTCCCAGGATGGACGCCAAGACAAAATGATTGGTCATTACCATGGTCATCTTTTTGGTGTTTTACTGTTCTCTAAACTTTTGGCATTACATCTATTCATCATTAATCTTTAAAGAAAAGACACAAACTCTTCCAAAAGCCTTGGCTGGGATTAAATTTATCATGGACACAAAGCTATGCTTATAGTACTAGTTTAACTGAGTTATTACTCCCTTGAGTCACTTGCTTTAGTTACATTAATTTGAACCTAGAAGCCCTTCGAACTGAAATAGAGTAGGAAATTATGACATTTCCCCATTGTGGACTCCTTGGTACATTATTATCATGTTACCTGATAACATTCAAGTAATGAAATATCTGCAAGCAAACATTTCAGAGTGCACCAAGGACACCATAGTTCAACCCTGAGCTACATACAGTATATTCTCTTCTACTGGAACCTTTTTACATTCTCTCTTACTATCTCACCATCTTTTTACCATTTATGCTTATTCATTCCATTTACTTCCTTTTCTTTTCTCTCGCAAACATAAATTATTTTGTCCTTTAGGATTTCTGGTTCTTATCAAAATATATTTTAACATCTACTTTGTCAAACACAATAGGCATGACCCAACTTTAAGCAGGTTTAATCCTATTTAAAATGTAAAGATATTTAAAGATTTAGTATCTGTAAAGATATTTTAAAATCCTACGAAATGTGATTTACATTGAGGTATATTAACATAAAATTATATCTGAAAATATATACATATTGTTGAATAATTTTTCCCTAGAATTCCTTTGTAGTTTAGCGGTTTGAATGCATAAAGAATTGCTACAAACTTTTTAAAAGGTGGTATAAATTGTTAGAAAAGCTAAGACACGTGGAAAATGCCATTAGTTAGCAAGGCCAAGTTAACAATTCTGTTGCAATCTAGCAAGTTCAAAAATGAACAGACTGGAAAAGAGATGCAATTTGTCCCACCCTTGACACTGTAAGAGAGCTGCACGATAGCCAAAAAACAGGAATCTGGTAGCACCTTTTCAGGCTAGCAAATTTTATTAAAAGATATAAACATTTATGAAACGCAACTCCATTCTTCATATGCTTGGAATGGCTATTCGAATACAAGATTTAAATTGGAATGAGGTTGGATGGAGGGAGGGGACAACAGGCCAGTTTTTTAAAAATTGACATACAGATCTCCCCACACACACAAATTCTCAAGGGACCATATAACACTCAAAGGTCTGTATCATTCCAGCCCAAGACCTAGGTGAAAAGCCAGCTTTTAAAATCTTTTTTTTTTTAACAAGGTCTTCATGCAGACAAATAGGAGGTTATTGTTTCAGGGGGGCAGGTATTGTGACAAAGAAGACATGCTTTATAGGTCCCATCTAATGATACTGTTTAATGGCTAAGAATATGACAAATCTGTTTAATCACAAAGCAGGGGTAGAAGGTATGGGAAAAGTCTCTATGTCATGAGATGCGTTTATGTAATAACCAGCATAGTGAATTTACTTGGAAGCTTCCCAGAAAACAGCACAGCTCGCAAAGCAGTGGTGTTGCATG